TGCATTCTGACACTCAAACCCGAGAATTTTTCACAAAGATGTATAATGTTAAAATAGACAGCTCAGGTAAACATAAACCCATCAATGGGATCAATTGTTATACTGATGGGTCACTTATGACATGCAGATCTGGAGCTGGTTTCTGGAGAAGGGACGAACCAGAGGCGGGCATGTCAATAGCACTTGGAAATTACGCAACAGTGTTTCAATCTGAAATACTGGCAATAACTTACTGTACTTCAAAAATACTGCTTGACGGGTTTGTTGGGAGGAAAATAGCAATATATAGCAGTATACATTGAATGGGTTCCGGGTTACTTAGGAATTCATGGTAATGAAATGGCTGATGAACTAGCCAGACAAAGCTCTCAAACGACACCCATACCTCCGGAACCCATCTGTGATATTAGTCAGTGTCTGACAACAAACAGAATCGGGGAGATACATGGTACTTAAAACGAAAGGAACTGGTTATTGAAAAAGCAGACCCAATCGAGACTGTTTCTGGAAGGAATCTGCCAAAAAAGAACTAACTTACTAATTAATTTGAGCAGGAGCTCACTGAAGAAAATTACAGCAGCATATACAGGGCACTGTAAACTGAATTATCATATGTTCAAAGTCTGGCTCACAGAGTCGTCTCTTTGTAGGTACTGTGGCCGGGAGGATGAGACAGCGTATCATGTCACTTGCTGGTGCGATGGGTTTGCTGGCCTAAGATTTTGTTTATTCGGCACTGACAAGGAGAAAGATCCAAAGGCAAACGAACTTATCAATCCAACAAGCCTATTACAGTTCATAGATACTGCACGAATCACACTCTAAACTGAAGTTACTTTAAACTAGGCGTACAATAGGCCTACATGGCCGTAGTGCACTTATGCCGCAAAAAAAATAAGGAATATTTATTCATACTTTTAAGTAAATATAACAATATTCTTTACCGTACCTGTAATTACAACCATATTAGTATTTGCATTAGTGAATAAGATAGCAAATATAAATATAGTAAAACAAATATTTTTTAAATAAAACATATTTATCTATAATTTTATGTGAATATAACAATATTCCTTATTACATATGTAAATGCAATTACTATGTAATGAGGAGACTTTTGGGCTGAAGCCCTCTGATATGGAAAAATAATTTTTTTTTAGATCTATATTTATTTCTGTGTGTAATCTGTGCTAAGTACTTAAATATAACAATATGTATTCTTTTTAAATTGTAAGGTATATAAAGTTACAAAATTTAAGCACGTGTTAACAAAAAATGAATATCTTATCTCTGAAAACACCATTATTTCTGTATTTCGTTTCTTAACCCTACATTTTCCTCTGATGTAATTACCATTATTATTATTACTGCTGATGACTTTGACAGTACTGTTATTAACATCTGTAAATACAACAGTATTCCATTTTATAGGAGTAAATAAGGTTGGAAATATGGGTTCAAAATAAAAATGTTCAGTAAAATTAATATTTGTTGAAGAAATAAGAATATTCATTCATAAGATTATGTGAATATTTTCCCATTCACAAACTACTGTTTTGAAAATCCACATAAAAATAGTATCGTAAAACTCATACAACCTGTATCTAAACGGAAAAGAATGAATTTTCTTGAAAAAACAGAAACTAAGAAAAATACAACCAAAAACAATGTGCTATGTTCGAATGTGAATAATAATCAATTTGAGGATTCTATGTTTATTAAATTAGTAGCGGCTAATGAAAACAAGACGTAGGAGATGACGAATGTCCATCAAGACAAGAGTTTTGTTTTTATTTTTAACCATCGTCTGACAAGCAGGAGAGGACTGTAATAAATTACGTGATAATTAGTTTTTATTTAATTGGTATGTTTTCATTTATTTTATAGATTGATTTGTAAATTTTGCTTTTTATTGTTGTTAATTTTTATATCCATAATTTTTACATGATTATTATATTTAGCCTGATGAAGGAGCTAAACTGGTAACAAGATAAAATAAAAATCATATACAGGAGTACATCTTTTTATTGAATTTTATTCTTTGTTTATTACTATATCTGTTAGAATGTTTCGAAAAATGTTCTTCCCATCGTCAGGAACATATAATACTATTAACAGTCGACCTTATTTATTTTACAGGGGAAAAAAATTACAGGACAAAGGAGCATAAATAAATAAATAAAAATAAAAAAAATCCCGGTTTTCTTGAAAAATTCCAGTACATATTCCAGTTTGAGAAATTCCCATACGATTCCCGGTTTAGAAATTTTTTTTTTGTTGGCAAAAGTAAACTATTTGCTAAGAGAATGTCGCTGAAACACTCCCTCCTCCTCTCCCTAGACCATTTTAATTTGGCCCACACACTCACCCTCTGTTTCATCTTGATTCCTTTTTTCAATCCAGCGAAGATAGAATTCGATGAAATCTGTTGTTAGGATTCCAAGTGTCATTTATTAGTAATCTTAGATACACTATATGGGTTAGTAAGGTGGCTTGGCTGAGGGTAAGATGTGGATGATCATTGAATAGTAGTACCCATGACTCAGAGCCATTCCCTTGGTGAACAGCTTAGAAGTACGTATTAACTTTTTTCTTTTTTTTTGTCTTTTTCATTAAAAGAATTGTTTTTATGAGATAGATTGATAAAAAATTAGCTGAGAATTTCACTGAAAATTTAAAGATTGTAAGTTGCTAAATATTTTATTGCAAATCGAAAGAGGAGAAACAATTCAATTAGTAAGTGGCCAATCAGCATGTATTAAAATACAAGTTATCATGCAAATAATTGCAACTATTACCAGTAAAAACACAGTATAACAAACTATATAGGGGTAATCAAGGTGACATCATGTAGGAGTAATCAAGTTGAAATCAACTATAACAGATTCGCTATTGACATAATATTTTCTTTCCAACAAATACTAGAAAAAGAAATAGTACCATCAGAGTATTGTTCATTATTAGAAATCAATTAAAAAAAGTTTGATGAGTATATTGAATGTTAACTAACTAACTCCATGGCGCTACAGACCGGTGTGGTCCTTGGCCGCCTCAAGCCTTCAACAGATGGCTCTATCTTGCGCAGTTGCTCGCCAGTTGCGTTATGCAATAATTCTCTGACGTCCCGAATGACGGCATCCTCCCATCTTAGACGTGGTCTGCCTTTTCCTCTTGTTCTGCAGAGCTTCCCATTAAGCAACTTCCTTGGGACTTCCTCTTCTAGCATTCTGGCCACATGGCCAGCCCAACGTAGTCGCCCAAGCTTCATACACCTCAACACATCTATCTCTCCATACAGATCATATAGGTTCCTGTTAGTTCTCCTTCTCCAATCATCACCGACCTTGACAGGACAAAGATACGCCGAAGAATCTTCCTTTCAAAGATTAATAAATCTTTTTCTTCTTTGCTAGAGAGGGTCCAGTTTTCCGATCCATATGTGAGAACAGGCCTAATGAGGGTCTTATATAAGTGGCATTTTGTATGACGGGATATGGTAGAGCTTCCAAGGTGTTTGCTGAGGCCAAAATAGCACCTGTTTGCCCTTATTATTTGCTGGTTGACCTCCATGGATATTTTATTTCCACAGCTTACAATAGCTCCTAGATAGGTAAACTGGTCTACATTGTGGAATGTGAATGGGCCCATAACCACCGGTATTCGTACTGCGGTCTCGGTTATATATTGAATGTTAGCAAATTACAAAATATTTTCAAATGCCTAGTAGATCCTAAAAAAAAATCGATAATCAGGAAAATAATAAAATATACAAATAAACAAAAGAAAAATATGGGAACCATTACAAAAATCAAAGAGTTAGATTAATTATCTTAAATTAATTTAATTAGATTATAAGTATTTTAGTCCAACTCTTATCAGTTGTATGAAAATTATTTTCATAACACATACACAAAAAAAAATTACATAAGTTCAGTGTCAGTCATTACTTAAGCTAAATATATTCTCCTTTAACACATAATACATTTAAAAAACGAGATAAAAAACCTTGTAATAATACACTTACCAAAGTATGTTGATAATTTTTTCTAAAATTCATACAAAAGTCAGTCACCTCAAACTAGGAGAAAGTATTGAAAATAAAAAAATGATAGATAGCTGGTGTAATCTTGATAATAAAAATATACTTATAGTTCAAAGATCATAATTTAATAATGAGAGACATGATGCTACAATATTGTTATGATTTTAACTAGAGTATGTTACATGGCGAAGTCGGTAAATTATAAAACTTCTTCAGTTAATTATCGTTAAATAAAAGTGTTGTTTTTAATTAGTGAAACATTGAAGATGAAAATAATTGATAAATATGGTAGAAAAGGATATTCAAAATCTTAATATGTTTGGAAACCTTGTTGCTAATTGGAAATTTTGGAGACAGAATTTCGAAAATTATATTATAGCAACTGAGTTGAACAAAAAATCTGAAAAACCACAATATGCTCAGCTTTTGCACTTGATAGGGGATGAAAGTTTGAGAATTTATAACATGTTTGATACAAGTTCAAATTTTGAAGACTTAAAAATACTTCTTGATAGATTTGAAAACATTTTCTACTAAAAAAGAACATTGAATTTGAGTGATATAAAATTTTAGTTCATTAGAAAACAAATGGAAGGAGAGTTACAGGAGTATATAACAGAACCGAGGGATAATATTCCATCACCTACAGAACTGCTAAATCCCTGAGTTAAAATGTTGGAACCTCTACAAGAATATGAAAATGTAAGAGTTGAAAGGGAAGGAACATGAAAAAAGCGTCGAGTGATCAGAAAAGGAAAAGGACCAAGATCATATTTACAGACCGAAACTGGAAACCTTCTTAGAAAAAGAAAATTCTTGCCTTTCACTATCAATATTTTGATGAAAGATACGAAATGACATTAAGTAAAAGAAAAAAAATTATGATTAAATATATTAAAAAAATATGTACAATTGCAGTTGTATTACAAGCACACTTGAACATAACATGTTGACTTACAATTCACCATGTCTTCTACTCTTACACAGCCAGCAACAGAATATAACTGACCAACTGTTGATTTCCTAGGTGTGACTCGATTAGCAGGGAATTTGGTACGACGCTCAGGAAGAGCATGGTATTTTAATGCTTCTATAACCAATGATTCACCCCCTTGGCCAACTTTGGGTACTACTTCATCAACTAAAAACTATTTGTAAATACAAAGTCAGTAAACAAATTTCAACAAACTTTTTTTAAAAAAAAAAAAAAGGTGAAAATCATCATATTCATATAAATAATAATAATAACATCAACCTTAAAAACAAAATTCATAGATAATATATTTATTGGCTTAATTATAACATAATCCTTGGAGTCTGGCCCAATTGGTGTTATTTTAAGTTATCTATGTAACAAATTATACATATGTTCAGAATACACAATTAAACATTAAAAAAACGTAGAAATAATAATAAGGCTATAATAATTGTATGATTTTCAAACAATGGGTTAATATTTAATATGAATATTTTAATATTAAACAATAGGTTAAATAAATAGATAAAATTCCCTAAACTAATCTCGACCATATACATAATGCTAAGGGATGTTATCATTAATATAGTAAAAAACACATATGAGGAAATAAAATATATTATTCAACTGTTCAAGATCCTTAATATCCAAGATAGTTGGCAACAACAAATATTCTTCTTTATTATCAATATAGAATTGAAAGGGTTTTTTTCTAAGAGTTTTTACATCAGAACAATCGAGTAGATTTTCAAGCTATTATAGATAAATATATCACACAGTTTGCAAACTTCCTCCATTGTAATAATATTTTTGAAGTTTTTATGATGCAAACTGATGTAATGATTACTATAGACTCTTAAATGACTTACAGTCCTTATTTTTCGTATGCTGACATTGATTTTAGATAATTTCTGGTTCAGATAATGAGTAACTGCAAATACTTCTATAAAGAGGATGTCTACAGAATACAAGTTGTTTGATACTCTTTCCAAAATAATGCTTCTATTGATAATTAGTTCTGGTTAGTGCTTAGTTCTAATGTTCTGGTAGAGGTGTTAATTCTATACACAATTTTATAATTTTTTAAAAAATTGCTATCAAAATTGGCTAGTAAACAGTTACTAATCTGACTAAATGTTAAGGGCAGAATTCTATTTTTAAGCAGGGAGTGCCCTGTGCACCTGGAGATGATGCAAGCGCTGGCGAAGAAGAGCTGTAGGCTGCAGATTCTGCAGGTCAATATGGGCCAAAGACAAGTGGTTGCGGACGAATTGAGAACTCTCGCCCGAGAAGTAGACATCATGGCGATCCAGGAGCCGTACTGTCGAAATAATGTGGTCATAGGGTTTGGTATAATGTCGAGGATGATCTCTCTGAGCAGTGCTGAGAGGAGGCCCAGAGAGGCTATAGTGATAGTAAATCCCGAGATCGATGTAATGGAACTGAGGAATCTCACAACGGCGGATCAGGCGGTATGCTGCGGACCACCAGGGGTAATTACCTAAGGCGTAGCTTTCGATATGCCTCCTTCCTGTCATCAGTAAGATCAAACAGCACAAACAGCCTTAGACCATTCCTCAGCGCGGCGAGTCATCCACGGCAATTCGGCTCAACCCGTGGTAAGGGAACCGGTAATGCACTGCTGAAAGTGCGTAGAGACGTAGAAGGGAGGGCGGAGAAATATGTACTACTCATACTGTTCAACATACCCTCTATTTTCGATAGCATTTGGTGGCCTTGAGTACTCCAGCGGATCCAAGTATTCAAAACCCCCAGCAACTTGCACTTCCTCGTAGGTAGCACAAGAGAGTAAAGATTAGGAGTAGCTTCTATGAGGTCGAGAGAAATATTGAAAGAGGCTGTCCTCAGGGCTACTCATTAGAGGCTCCACGGACAGGGCTCATCCCATCAACCTTGACATACAGTTAGAGAAAGTAAGAGTGGGTGAAGAAGTGACGTACCTCGGAGTGAGGCTAATGAGGAAGTTTGACGTCACCCCTCACCTAGAGTAGTTAAGGGATAGGATGACCCTGTCAATAAATGGACTAAGCAAGTTAGGGGGTACGTTTTGGGGCCTCAGAGACCCTGCTAGGATGAAAGGCGTGGTCTTATGAATCTTGAGGTAGGCATCCATTGCGGGGAGGAAAAACCTCACACAATAGCAGAAGAGGAGACTGTCAAACATTCAGCGACATATAGGACGGTGTCACATGAGACAGCACTGAATTACGATGCTCTTCATTACGATGTTAAGAGGCAGGGACTAGAGGCGCTTCTAGAGGGACTCCGGCGAAAGGTCAACAAGAATCCCAACCAGTGGAAGAAGATCGTTAGGGAGGACTCCATCGAAGAATGGAATGGGCGGTGGGTTGCTTGCTAGAAGGGCTCAACATTGAGGAAGTTCTTCCCTACCGTCCACTCAAGAATAAAAGCTAAATCAGTCCTCCCAGACTACTGGGTCTCGCAGATCCTGACAGGACACGGAGGCTTCCGGAGGAAATTACACTCACATGGGAAGAACATAGATTCCCGGTGCCTCACCTGAGTCCCTGAAACGGCAGAACATGTTGTGGTATACTGTGCTGATATGGAAGAACACCGTGTCAGGTTGTCAAGAAAAACAAGTATTCTCGCCCTCACTGAAAAAACGGACTTTCCCTGACTGATAGAAGAGGTAAACAACCCCATCTTCCTGGAGTTCGTCTATGGGTGGAAATAACTGGTGGGCCCTTCACACTTCACTCTTGGTAGGACCCCCCCTCCCGATAGGGTCCAGGACCAGGAGGCCTGGACAGCAATCTGGACGAATGCAGGCTACGCCGGTTGCAGAGTGCCAGATGGGCTGGACATGCGATCCGGCAGAGGATTAGGTGCACAACCATGCACCAGGCCACCACAGTTGAACCTGTGAACTGAACCTAACAAGAAATGTTAAGAATAAAGTATTTTATTGGTAGTAGTGGGCGTACGTATACCTAACGTATTAACCACCTACTGCCGTGTGCCAGAAATGGCAGGTAGGGGAAATAATAAAAGAGTGAGTAAACTAGCCCCACTGCTCCTTGAGTGTTAGTCTATGAGCCATCTAACTTTGGCATCCCTTGAGAGGACAGATGTAGCTTTTAAAACTTATAATAATAATAAAAGGCTTAGGAAACCTGAAGGTTCGATGCCGAAATCAGTAATCGCTTATTACACACCTTCCTCCACGGTCCTGGGTCCAAACCCAGTCTTTTCAGATAGCCTTTAACGCGATACTCCTGCCTTCACTTTGGTTTACCTCTCGGACGTTTACCATTTGGTAAAGCAAATATTAACCTTTTAAGAATTCATAATTATTTTTGGTGTATAGTGAACTAAAGATATGTGAGTATGGTGTTCAATCCTACGTCACACCCTCCAGCAAGTCTGGAGGGCCCCTCTCATTGTTGGTCCATCGGACTTAGCCGGGAGGAACTTCCAAGGAATTTCCACCGATTCTGCCAACCCCACATCTGTCACCCATGGGATGCTCCCCACATGCGGTAATGGGCCCTCGCAAGGAGCTTTTAAAATTTAAAAAAATAAAATTTTTAGTGAGCAGTAAATGTTGAGGCCAGAATTATATTTTTCAATTGAGCGAGGCTAATTGATTGTTATTATTATTAGCTAATATGTTATTATAATAACATGGCTAATGGGGCATGGGGCTAATATGTTATTATAATAATATGTTTGGATTGATCTAATCAGAACAGATTTGAATATATATGTATTTGTGTGTATATATAAATATACACACATATATATATATATATATATATATATATATATATATATATATATATATATATATATATATATATATATATATATAATTCACAAAAAAATAATAATATGCTAATAAAATATTTGGTATTTTTAAAACAAAATAAAAGTATCATAAATTGTTTTTTAATCATTCGTTACATTTTTTTTAGTTTGATGCCGCTTTAAATGTGTTATTAGGTTTGAATTGTTTAAAATATTAGATTTTATTATTTTTTGTTTGCTTGAAACTTTGGGAGGACATTTTAAACATGTAATGGTTTAAAGAAAGTCCCATTCAACACAACTCGAATAGAGAACCTTAATTTTCTTAAAGGTACTGTCTTGAAAACACTCACTTAAATCGAAATCCTGATCCAGAATACAAGAGCCTGCTAAAGAAACAGACTCAGTTTCACATTCAATTTCATACATTGTTCTAAATGCAAAACTTAACACAGTAACACCCTCACTTTTACTTTATTACTTTATGGAACTGCAGGTCCGGAAAGGTCACTATCCAAATTTGACTGTCCTTGTCTCTTTCCTAGCTTCATGCAAAGGATGTCGTGTACCCCCCCCCCTGGAATTTCCAGGGTATCGTTCTGACAGTTTTGCCTACGCTGACATCAGCAACCCATAAGTAAACAGTGCACCGAAAGGACCAAAGACGCGGATTTCCCATTCTGTTAGGGGGAAGGGAGGGGTAAAATAAAATTAATATATATTTAATAAATAAGAGTATTCATTCATAAGGTTGTGTGAAAATATTTCCATTCAGTTCTGTAAATTTAAGCGTATTCATTTTAATAAACGTGAATACGGCCGTATTCACTACTGCAACTGTAAATACAGCCATATTCACTTTTAAAGTAGTGAATACGGCCGTATTTATATTATACATACAGCGTGGTAAAATACATATGTATATCTCGGCATTAGCTCAGTCATCTAGTCGACTTTTCCAATTTCCTTAATTGACTTCAGTTTACATAATTAGGACCCTCCTAAGATGTTTAATTATAATTTTATGTTTAATATAATTAAAAGTTTATTTATACATCATTTTGTGTTAGTAAATACCAACCTTTTTAATATTATTCCAAAAAAATTTAAGAGATTTATTTAATTAACTCCTTACTGCCCAGAATTTTATTTTAATAATTTGTATACTTTTTGTTTAGTCTTGGAAAATACCTAAAGTAAAATTAATATATATTTAATAAATAAGAGTATTCATTCATAAGTTTGTGTGAAAAGATTTCCATTCCCTCCTGTAAATTTAAGCGTATTTATTTTAATAAATGTGAATACAGCCGTATTCACTACTGCAACTGTAAATACAGCCGTATTCACTTTTAAGATAGTGAATATGGCCGTATTTAT